GGTTCTGCGGGGCCCGGCAGGCGGCGCACGCGGCCGGCCCTGCGCACCGCTGGGGAGTAGGACACGAGAGGCCGCGGGGTGCAGGGGGTCTGGGGGAGCTGGCGGCGGCCGCGCCGCGGAGTGCTGGTGCCAGATGTTGAGGGGGCTGGGCTTCCACTGACGGAACTACTGCCCTACACGAAAATTGAAACAAAGGAAATCAAAAGAAAAGATACAACCAAAGGAACCGGGAAATGGGAGGACACAGACGGGAGGACGGAGCCGACCGGGCGGGAGGGGGGCGGGGCCACAGGACGATCAATGGAAAAAAAAGAGAAAAGCCACAGCCACGGGAGGACGGGGAGGACGGAGTGACACGAGGAGGGAGGACGGGGCAAAACCAACATAACAAAGTGAGGAGAGAAGTGAGAAATGGAGTTTGTAAGTTTCAAAAATTACTCACAGGCGTCCGGAGGACAGAAATCATAATTGAAACAAAAAGGGAAGCCGGGTTAAAGGAAAGCGGGGTGCAGCCCACGGCTGGGGAGCAAGCAGCGGCGGCTGGGCCTGCCCAGGACTGTGTGAGAGTCGGGGTCCCGGCTGGTCCCCGCGGGTCACACCCACGTGCCAGGGGGCCACCCACCTTCCGAGATGCCACCCGCTTGCACGGTGCCTCACCCACCTGCCGGTGTGCCGCGTGCTCTCGGCCCTCGCTGGGCGAGCGGGACCAGCGTTGGTCCCGGGCCCGGGCCCGGCCCACGTCGGGCCGCTCCTGGACATAACGCTCCTTGTCAGCAGGCGGGGGATGGTGGTGGTGGTGGTGGTGATGGTGTTGTCGATGCTTCCGGTCCTTGGGCCGGCCCCGCTCCTGATCTTTGGATGGCAGGTCCCCGGATTGGGTGGTCATGCTCAGATCCGTACCCAAACCTGGGTGGGAAAGACATGGGTGAAGGAGGAGGGGAGGGGCAGGGCTGGAGTCATATGAGGCCCTCCAGGCCAGGCTGAGGCCGGCAGGGCCTGGCCAGGGCCCATTGGTCAGCAGGGTCCAGGTCTCCAGACTATACCATTGCCCCCTGGTCTCCCTATTCAGAACATTAAAACAAAAATAACCCCCATACACATTGATTTTTGTAGGTATATATACGTGGGTGGGTCAGAGGAAAACCTAAGGGATTCAGCGCTCTTCTACCTTGTGGTTTCTGGGAATGAAACTCAGATGCCTTTACCAGCTGAGGCATCTTGCCTGGCCCCTCCCCTTTTCTACTGTGTTGAGAGTTACTCCCACCACCCAACCCCAGCCTAAAAATAACCCCCATACACATTGATTTTTGTAGGTATATATACGTGGGTGGGTCAGAGGAAAACCTAAGGGATTCAGCGCTCTTCTACCTTGTGGTTTCTGGGAATGAAACTCAGATGCCTTTACCAGCTGAGGCATCTTGCCTGGCCCCTCCCCTTTTCTACTGTGTTGAGAGTTACTCCCACCACCCAACCCCATTCAGCCTTTTTTTACTCCTTCTCTGTTAAGAGTAGCCACTGCTGTTAACCACTGAGCATCTCTCCAGTACCCCCCCAAGAAAAACCCAACTTAAAAAAATTTTTTGTGTGTCTATGGGCATGTTCACGTGTGTGAGGGTGCATGTGCATCACTGAATGCATGTGGAGGTCAGAAGACACTCTCCTCACCTCCCACCTTGTTTGAGACTGATTCTCTTGTCTGCTGTGTCCTGGTTGTCCCACTGCCCATCTTGCCTTAGGACTGCTGGGGTTGTCCGTCTTAAGTGCGTTCTGGAGATCCAAACTCAGATCTTCATGTTGGCAAATGCTGTACCTGTTGAGTCACCTCTCCACTTTCCTTGTTTTCTGAGTCAGCATCTCACTGGCCTAGAACTCATTGAGTAGGCTAGGCTGGTGAGCTTCCCTAACTCAGGGATTCCAAGTGTGCATGATGATGCCTGGCTTTCTTAAGATTTAATTTTTATTTGTGTTTATATGTGGGTATGTACAGGTGCTTTTAAAGACCAGAATTAAGTATTGCGTTCTCTAGATCGGGAGTTATGGGTGGGTGTTAGGAACAGATCTTGGGTCCTCCAGGAGCTTAAGAGCTACAGGTTATGGCTCTTAACCACTGAGCAATCTGTCCTGCCTGCTTTTTTACATGCATTCCTTGTGCTATCAACTGAGCCATCTTCCCAGCTTGTTTCTGTTCTCGTTCTCTCCCACTCTCCTCTCTCTCTCTCTCTCCTCTATGTAGCCTTGGCTGGCCTGGAACTCACTATGTAGACCAGGCCAGCCTCAAACCATATGGAGATCCACCTGCCTCTGAATAATGGGATTAAAGGCATGCCTGACTTTTCTCTCTCTCCCTCTCCTTCCTTCCCCACCCCCTTTTTTTTTGTCTCTGTGTGTGACACACATTTGTGTGTTTATACCTGTGTGCTCCTGTTGGGTCTTTCCTCAGGTGTGCTCTACCTTATCTGAGATAGGTCTCACTGAGCCCCCAGTTCACTGATTCTGCCAGGCTGGCTCGCCAACAAGCTCCAGGGCTCTGCCTGATTCTGCAGTCCCAGGGTTACAGGTGTATACTACCACACAGCTTTTTAAAAAAATTTTTATGTGTATATGTGTACTGCCTGTATGTAGGTAAGTGCACCCGTGTCATGCAATGCTCTCGGAGGTCAGAAGAGGCTGTCAGATCCCCTGGAACTGAAGTTACAGACAGTTGTTAGCTGCCATGTGGGTGCTGGGATTTGAACCCGGGTCTTCTGCAAGAACAGTCAGTGCTCTTAACTGCTGAGCCATCTCTCCAACTCTACCACACAGCTTTTATGTGGATGCTGAACTCAGATGTCACAAACCCTTCACTCATTATCTCCCCAGCCTTTTTTTTTTTCCTGACTTCTACTGTGTGCCCCAGGCTGGCCTCAAATTCTCTGCCTCAGTGCGGGCATTAGAGGTGTGTGTCCAATCCTCTGTCCCACAGAAGTTCTTTAACCTCCTTCTCCCTCTGTTCCTGGACTCCTCGATAGCCCACCTGTGTCCACATCAGTGTAGCGGCCCAGAGAACGCTCAGAGGCCCGGTGGCCACGGTCCCTGCGTCGTTGGTGGTACCGTTGGTTCTCCTCTGGTGGCACCCGCTCCAATGAGTAGTCGTCCAGGCGCCGGGCTTTGGGGCCCAGCACGGAGGCTGAGCGCTTCATGGGGCTGGTGTCAGAGATGGTCTGGGGGAGGGGGACAGGTGTGGGCAGGGTCAGTGGCCAGCACTTACAGGGCCTTTTCCTTCCAGCCCCGTGGCCAAAGCCTGGTTGGTGGGTGGCTGTTTGTGATGGAGTCAGGGTATATGTGACTGTCCAGGGGCTGGGTCCAGGGTGCAGTTGGGAGCCTGAGAGCCTGGCTTGCTGACTGCACAGGTAAAGCCCCAGGAATTCATGTGTCCCGATGACAGGGCTGCTGCTGCTCCTTTGGGTGCATCCTGGACTCTGGTCAGTAGTCCCAGGCTGACTCCTCACCCTCCTTTCCAGGATCCCCTGATCCCCAGTGCCCACTGGGGGCCCGGCTGACTGGCTGGCAGGAAGCACACCCTGATTGCAGCATATAAGCCTGGGAGTCCTGCTGTAGGGCCTCCTCTTCAGAGAGGTTGGGATACTAATCTTGAAGCTGTGCTCCTCCTTGACCAACTAGGCCCAACTCTTCTGACTCCCCAACCCCCAGGCTAGGGTTTGTGCTGACATTTGAGGTGTTGGGGGGCCCATTCTTGATCTGTATTTGCTGTCTCCCAACCCTTGGTCTTGCTCTGCCATGGACAGCCTGTGGTTCTGTAGCAGGTGGAAGGAGGAAGGCAGGGTGGCTCCCAACCCCAATTAGGGCCTGGCAGAACTCTGATGCCTGGGGCACTGCCCAAGGCAGGAGCTTTAAAAGGACCTGAGGCTATGGGCCAGTGGTAGCCTGTGGAGTTGGAATAACAGATCACCAAGAAAGAGGGACAGGGTGGGCAGGGCAGCCTCTTTAAGGTGCTAAAAAAGGAGTGGGGTGTGGTGTGGTCTCCCTTCACACATAGAACACAACACATGAGGAGGGGGCTCCATGGGGAGAGGAGTGGGGTCTGCAAAGAAAGGGTGAGGTTGAGGGCAAGGGGAGATGGTAGGAGCTGGCCCAAGGGGGACGGGGAGGAAGAGGGGGGCCGGAGCCGAGCTGGCTGGGCATGGTACATACACTGAGGTTATTCCCACGTGGCCGGCCCCGTCTCCTCTGTCCCAGCCCCACAGGATGGCGCACACAGAAAAAACAGAAAGAAGGAAATAAATATAAAAGGCAAAAGGGGAGGTGGTGGGTGGTGCATGGAGGAGGTGCGGGGTGGTGGGGTGGTGGTGGTGGTAGTTAAAGTATCCGGTGGTGAGTGAGGGGATGCCCCAGGAACTAGCTGGCTATTTCCGAAACAGGTACAGAAGAAACAGACAGGAAACAAATGGACAGATGGCAGAGGCATGAGACTGACAGATGGGACAGCAAGGCCGCAGGCCCCTGACCCCTTTCATGCGATGTGACCTGCCTGGCTCCCCTAAGCCCCGACTCAGAGTTTCCAGATGGCCATCAGCCCAGCTTGGCTCATCCCTGTCCTGAGGTCAGCAGGCCAGCCCTTAAGGAAGGGACATGGCAGCCACATGCACCCCAAGGTCATAGCAGCCAGAGGCCAGGCCCTTGGGGGCCATGCTGGTCCAGCCAGGCAGCCAGGCACAGTGCAGATACCGTACACAGCACAAAGCTGCTCCAGTCAGACATGCCCCCTTCTGCCTGCCCTTTCTCCCTGTCATTAGGGCTCCTCAGTGGCAGCCTGTGCCCCATCCCCATTTCACTGCGAAGCAGCCAGGCATGCTTTAGAACCCTCTGTTCCCATAGGATCCTGCCTCCCTTTCACAGGGGACCCCAGCAGCTTAGTGAAGCAGCCACACACAGACACATGTCATGTACACATCCTATCACCCACCCCTCCCACAGATATCCCAGGCCCACTCAGATTCTGCCTACAGAGTCCTCAGACATGCTGGTGTAGTGGTGCATGCCTTTAATCCCCACACTTGAGAGGTAGAGGCAGGTGGATCTCTTGAGTTCCAGGTAAGGCTAGGGCTGGTCTACATAGCGAGTTCCAGACCAGCAAGGATAGTGAGACTGTCTCAAAAAACAAAACAAAACGGGCCAGGTGTGGTGGCGCATGCCTTTAGTCCCAGCACTCGGAGGCAGAGGCAGACGAATCTCTGTGAGTTCAAGGCCAGCCTGGTCTACAAAGCGAGTTCCAGGCCAGCTGGGGCTATAGGGAGAACCTGTCTCAAAAAAGACCAAACAAATAAAAAAAAACCCAAACAAATCCCACCAAAACAAAACAAACAAAAAACAAAAGAAAAAACAAAATGAAACCAAAAACCCCAAAACCTGTACTTAGACATGCCTAGTTCCTGAGGGCAGCAGGCCTGTGTGTGCATGTATACAAGGTATGATGCCCATGCTGCAACACAAGTGTCTATGAATGCAGTGCACAGCCAGGTACATAGGCACGTGTGCTTAGGTGCTCATGTGTATAGAGTACATGGGTAGCAGGGACAGTGTTTTGGTGCTGGGGATGGAACCCAGGCCTTGCCCAGGCTAAACATAGGTTTAATACTGACCTCTACCTCCAGCCTTGGAGGTACAATTCTTAGGTTTTGATTTGAGAGAGGATCTCACACAGTTGAGGTTGGCTTCGAACTAGCTGTATAGCAGGGGCTGGTCTTGAACATCAGATCCTCCTGCCTCGACCTCCTAAGTTCTGAGATTTCAGGTGTTGTGCCACCACACTTGGTTTTTAAGAATTTGTTTTGAGATTGGGTCCCAGGCTGTAGCCCAGGCTGGCATGGAAGTCCTCTTACCTCAGCCTCCTAAGTGCTTGGTACACCACACCAGGCTAAAGTGGGGATTCCAATGGCACCTCTCACCAGGGCTGGACAGACCCCTCCTCAACCCATCCTCCTCCCCCCCTCTACACCCCCAAATAGGGTGGAAGGAAGCCACTTGTCAGTGTTCTGCCCAGGGTGCCCATCCTTCTGTCAGAAAGAGGCTAGAAGAACCTCCAGGTGCTTGGGTATAGCCAGGAGGAGATGGGGCAGCTAATGGCAGCTGTAGGTAGCCCTACCCAGGGCAGTGTCCTGGAGGAGATTCTGGGTTCTCCTGAATTCCAGAGGCTCAGTGCACAAGGGCGTGACCCAGGACGGTGCAAGCTCTCACCTGGTTCTCTGCAGGGAGGCGGGGCATGGAGGCGGCCCGTGCCTGGCCTTCCATGGGGAGGTAGTGCTCGCTGTCAGAGTAGCCATCAGTGCCCATCTCTCGCATCTCCACGGACTGTGGGGCAGAGGTTGGAGCCAGGTGAGCCCGGGGCCTGACTGTGTGAGTCCCCTCCTTCTGAACCACCCGACCCGGGGGCAGCAGCAGGCAGCGGGCACCTGGGAGTTGGGCTGGCTGTTAGGCATGTCACTGGGGGGCTCTCGCTCAGGGCTCCATGTGCCGGTCTTTTGGAACATCTCTTGGGCCCTCTGTGTCACCCAGGATGGGCTCTCTTTCATGCTGCTTTCATGAGCCATCCTGCAAAGGGAACAGAGGCCAGGATGGGTATGCAGCAGCTCCAGGTTTCTGGAACCTGGGTCCTGGCACCCCCACAGTTGGCCAGAGGGACACTTACAGGCTTACTCCTGGGTCCAGCTGGGCAGAGGGGAGGGCATTCTGGCTGGATCCTCCCTCCTGTGTTGGTGATGGGGGCTCCATGCGCTGGAACATGAGAGGCGTCCGGTTCTGGGGAGGCAGAGCGCAGAGAGTGTGTGCAAAGCAGGCTGGACAGAGCAGGTACAGGAAGCTCAGGCCAGATGGTGCTGGGAAAACCCAGGGCCTGGCATATTAGGTGGGTGATTGAACACTAAGCTACACCCTCAACCCCCAAAGTGGTCTTGACATTCCTGACACACACACAAACACACAGGCAGGTCCTATCTACCCACCAAGCCTACATAATTAAAGTTTAAAAATTTTTTTCATTAGTTAAAAATTTTTAAAACATTTTATTATTTTTATTTTATGTGTATGCATGTATTGCCTGCATGTAGGTAAGTGCACCCCTGTTATGCAATGCCCACAGAGGACAGAAGAGACTTGTCAGATCCCCTGGAACTGGAGTTATGGACAGTTAGCTGCCATGTGGGTGCTGGGATTTGAACCTGGGTCTTCTGCAAGAACAGTCAGTGTTTTTAACTGCTGAGCCATCTCTCCAGCCCCCATTACTTAAAATTTAAAAAAAGATTGTGTGTGGATATGTGTGTACATGGGTGAAGGTGCCCACAGAAGCCAGAGGTGTTGGTTCTGGTGTTATAAGAGTTTGTGAGCTGCCCCATGTGGGTGCTGGGAATTGAACTTAGGTTCTCCCCAAGAGCAGTATGGGCTCCCAATGCTAAGCCATCTGTGCTGGATAGCGTTAGTGTCAACTTGACACACCTGGGTTGAGGGAGCCTCTAATTAGGGAATTGCCTTCATTGGACTGGCCTGTGGCCATGGGGTAGAGGGAGCCTCAATTGGGGAATTTCCTTCATTGGACTGGCCTGTGACCATGTCTGTGGGGCATCTTCTTGATGAGTGATGTGGGAGGGCCCAGCCCACTGTTGGTGTTGCCACCACTGGGCAGGTGGGCCTGTGTTGCATAAGAACACAGGCTGAGCAGGGGCCAGGGGAGCAAGCCAGTAAGCAGTGTTCCTCCACAGTCTGTGCTCCTGCCTCCAGGTTCCTGCCCTGAGTTTCTATCTTGGGTTCCCTGATGAACTATGACCTAGGAGTTGTAAGATAAATAAACCCTTTCCTCCCCAAGTTGGTAGTGGTCAGAGTGTTTGTCACAGCAATGAAGAAACAAACTAGGACACCATCTCTCTAGTCCATTTATTTATTTATTTATTTATTTAATTTATTTATTTTTGGTCTTTTGAGACAGGGTCTCCCTGTAGCCCCAGCTGTCCTGGAACTCACTATGTAGAGCAGGCTGGCCTTGAACTCACAGAGATCCGCCCGCCTCTGCCTCCCAAGTGCTGAGATTAAAGATGTGTGCCACCACACCCGGCTATCTAGTCCTTTTTATTACATATTTATCTATTTATTCTGTGTGCCTATGTGTGCATGCTGTGAGCCACAGTGACAAGTGGAGGTCAGAGAACAATGTGTGAGTCTGTTCTCTTCCCACTATGTGAGTTGTAGGGATGTAGCTCAGGTTGTCAGGCTTGGCAGCAGGGTCTAATCACTGAGCTGGCTGGTCTGCTCTTCTTTTACATTTTTGTTTATTTTTTGTGTGTGGTATATGGAAGTCAGAGAACAACTTGCAGGAGTCTGTTCTTTCCCTGTACCACATGGGTCCCAGGGCAAGTGCCTTTACCACTGAGCCTTCTCTCAGGACGCTGTCCAACTTTAAAAAATATATATTTTTTTGAATTTTATGTGTATGAGTATATTGCCTGCATGTATGTAAGTGCACCTGTGTTGTGCAATGCCATGGAGGTCAGAAGAGGGCGTTGGATTTCCCTGGATCTGGAGTTAAGGATGGTTGTAGCCTCCATCTGGGTGCTGGGAATCAAACCCAGGTCCTCTATAAGAGCAGTCAGTGCTCTTAAGCGCTGAGCCATTTCTCTAGCCCTCCTGCCCAACTTTTGACAGAACTATACAATGTAATCATCTATAAAGTTCATGCTGGAGATTCTCACCACCGAGTTAAAAAACAAACACAAACACACACAACGTCTTCCTCCCAAATTCATTCTGAGATGGATCAATTATCACTCCACTCCTCACACTGGTCCCCTACCTCTACCAGTATGGAAGCCTCCCCATACATTTCCATACTCAACCACTACAAGGTGGCAGTGGGCGGGTGCCTCTGCTTAGAACCCTCCTCAGTTTCCATCTCACTGGAGTAAAATCCAGAGTCCTCCCTGCAGGCCGGGGCTCAGCCCTTCCTCCTCTTCCTCCCTTCCTTTTCCTCTTTGAGAACTACTTGGGCCCAGGCTGAGTCAACCCCTCTAGCTTGACTGGCTGCCCTGTGACTGCCCACCCTGTTCTGCCCCACAGCCTGTCTACATCCATGGGCATACCTGCTCCTCTCGCATGGCCTCCTGCTTCTTGGCTTTGCTCTGCCGGTAGTATTCCATGATCATCATAGCTGCGTAGATCTTTCCCACAGTCAGGTCAGTGGCTGCAGAGGACAGGTGAGCTCATGTGCAGCCCAGCTCCCTCCCTTCCCCTCCCATCTCTTCCCTGAGCAGCTTACATTTGTGAGGTGTGACCAGCAGATCCAAGGTCTTCTGGGACAGATTGGGCCAAATGGCCATCATTTCCTTTCGGAGCTCTGCATCCATCTGCTGCTTGTCGGCTCCGCCTGCAATGTGGGGACACATGGGGCTGAGTGGCTGTGTAGAACTGGCCTCTGGAGCCACTGCTAGATAAGCAGCCCCCTGAAGATAGACCTCCTGGGGTCTCAGGGCCTATAGGCCTCCCTCAGAGGCACTGGAAGAGCCAAGATTACTGTCCTGGCTCCCACACACCAACTATGTTCCTTAGGGCACAACACTGCCCATCACCTCAGTTTCCCCATCTGTACACCTAGGATGACAGCCATAGTACTTGCCCTACCTGGCTGTTCATCAAAGCAGTTCATGCTTGCACAGTCTCAGGACAGAGCCTCTCTGTGATTACTGCCCCAGTGTCAAGGATTTGGTCCCTCTGACCCATGCTGGACTTCAGTCCATGAATGGGTCAATGTCAGTTTGGGGATGGAACTCAGGGCCTTGCACATGGTAGGCAAGAATTCTACCACAGAACCACACCACTGGACCAGATGGATTTACAGCAGAATTCTACCAGACATTTAAAGATCTACATCCAATACTACATAATTTATTCAAAAAGATAGAAATGGAGGGAGAATCCCCAAATTCCTTTTTTTTTGGTCTTTTTGAGACAGGGTCTCCCTGTAGCCCCAGCTGTCCTGGAACTTACTATGTAGACCAGGCTGGCCTTGAACTCACAGAGATCCGCCTGCCTCTGCCTCCTGAGTGCTAAGATTAAAGGCGTGTGCCACCACGCCCAGCCCAAATTCCTTTTATGAAGCCAGCATCACTCTAATACCAAGCCAGGTAAAGATACAACCAAAAAAGAAAACTATAGACCCATATCCTTAATGAACATAGATGCAAAAATTCTCAACAAAATACTTGCAAACTGCATACAGACGCACATCAAAAAGATCATCCACCATGATCAAGTCGGCTTTATTCTAGAGAGGCAGGGATGGTTCAATATTCCTAACTCAATAAACATCATAAATCATATAAATGGACTCAAAGACAAGAACCACATGGTCATCTCAATAAATGCAGAGGCCTTTGACAAAATTCAATATACATTTATATTCAAAGTCCTAGAGGGAATTGGACTGGAGGGAACATACCTCAACATAATTAAAGCCATATACAACAAACTCACAGCCAACATCATTCTAAACGGAGAAAAACTGGAAGCATTCCCAACTGATATCAGGAACTAGACAGGGCTGTCCACTATCCCCACTCCTTTTTTTTTGGTCTTTTTGAGACAGGGTCTCCCTGTAGCCCCAGCTGTCCTGGAACTCACTATGTAGACCAGGCTTGCCTTGAACTCACAGAGATCCATCTGCCTCTGCCT